ATACATACATACATACATACATACATACATACATACATACATACATACATACATACATAAACTTTATTAATGTGTCTAGACATCTAGCCGATGGGGAAAAAACCCTCTACTAATCGCGGACACTTAATATAATTAATAACCTACTAACTATTCTCTAATGAACACAATTGCTCGATGAGACATTTCCTGACACTGTATTCTTTCCTTCCATTGTGATTTCTTGTAGTATTATCGATTCAAGACTAATATCCATGCAAGGATCGATTTTAACTGAATGCTGACTTAGGTTGCTAGGAAACGAAAAAATAGAAATTGAAGTGGGTGAACATGTCACCCCATTTATTACAAGGAAGACAAGGTTCGAAACCTAATAAACCTAATGCCGTTGAGACCAAATCTTCGGTAAACATTTTGTTAAACCCGCGATTTTGTTGTAGGTACGTATACACTTCCATTTATAAAGACTTACCTAAAATTTGTAGGTTAGTGCATCGTCTATCGTCATATCCGTCTCTTGTAGCTACTTTACAGCAGTATCTAGCTTCATCATTTGTCTCGGCATTAACTAGTATGAAGGCTGGATGAGTTACATTTGTCGCCATACCAAATTTCCCTTTAAATTCTGCGGAAACTCGAAATAATCCATTAGGCTGGTAAGTAACAATATCCTTCGGGTTAGAGCCTTTCCACTTTTCCAACCTGAAATCGAAAATCTTATCGTTTCCTGTCACGGTGAAGTTCCATTCAAAAGAAACGTTTTCACCAAGCACTCCAAATAAGGGATCTGGTGACTGCTTGGTCCACTTGATAACTTGGGCTAAAAGAACAAATGCATTATGTGTTCTAAGATTTAACTTTTTACCGCAATAACCAAGTATGTTTGTTATATGACCTACCTGACGACAACCCAAATAGCGTGACTGCTATCACAAAAGCACAGGAGGTACACGGAAATCCTAAGCGAGCCATTACAACTCCCATTAAGTTCCAGAGGCCTTTTTGTTGCTATAGGCCTTTCGGAGAGTTCAACAGAAATTCAGAGCACGTTTATACTGCCCAGGTCGTACCTGCTGTACTTAGAAAAGTCTACAACATGCTGCAACATACCCTGAAACGTGATATGTCCTCCTGAGTATTTTACACCCAGATGGCCAGATGGCATACTTTAAATCTGATTTGTTTTTCGGTACAATGAGTGCATTGTTTCGCTTCAAAGTTCAAACGGACATGGGTGGGGATGGCGTGTGTGCACTGAAAAAAGACAGGCACTTTCTACATACGGAGTTAACTGACGCAGATTAAACAAGGAAGGGAAGCAATGGGAAGACCACCTCCAGAGAAAATGAATAAAAGAAAAAAGGTTTTCATATGAACAAACAGAAGTAATTTCCACACCAACTGAGTCTGGGTTTTAAATCTTTTAATTAACGAAGCAACACGATCTGTTGTAAACAATACGTTTGATTTTTGTGACCCTTTATTCCCTGAAAACCAATGGCCGTTGAAAGTTTATTGTTTGATACTTATCCGTGTAATGTGCAATAAATGAAATAAAAACACGATCGCAGTGTTCTAAAATTGGAACCTGGATCACTCGATGATTGGACCGTTATTCCATCACACGAACTGCCTGACCATAACACCTTCCAGCTGTAACAACACGAAACCGTAACTTCTTATTTGTCTCAGCCTGTTCGTCTCATTTTTAATTACATTAAAAATACAGCTAATTTTTCAGATACTTTTTCGATACATTTTTTTTGGTTAATACGCTTTTCAAGTCCCTGAAACA